AAGGCGGTGGTATAGAATTGGCATTCCAGTGGTAATATCAAGAGATGGATTCCGGTATCGTTGTGGCCGCGTAGTCGTAGCCGCAGATCCTGGGGTTTCTTTCGCAATGCAGGTACGTACTAGCTACTTAACTCCGTACCGAAACCCTATAATCCACTTGTGGGACCGTAAAATCATGGAGATGACTGGAGTGTCCCGGTAAGACTGCCGAAGTAAAGGGGATGGGAGCGAGGCGAGCTGTGGTAAGCATGAGAACCAAGATCTGATGAGAGGCTTCTCTTTGACTTGTGTAACAAATGCTGGCCCCCCCGGTGGCTGCAGCCCATGAAGCTTACCAGGTAGTCCGTCAGTGAACCAGATCCCTGGGAGCATTAGCCAACATTAATGAGAAACAAATTTAATCGAGGTGTGCCCGCGGAGGTGATGATGATCATCAGCCCAAAAGCCAGTGAGCAGCATTTGCGGGATGAGGGTGCCCATTGAGAAAAAATTGGACTCTCTCGACTCTTGCGAGCCAATTGCCAAGGTGATTAGAGTGATGGCATCAACGTGCCTGGCAATTGCACCATCCGCGCTTGGGCCATGCTAGTGTTCCTATTGGCCACGTCAACAGCCCACTTTCCGTCTTTGGGCCGACGTGCGCGGACACAGGTGGGTTCAGATGCACAGGTCTGATGGGAGACCATGTGCAGGCAAATCTGCCCTGGCACCTGCCAGGACTTATGCCCATGATGTGATCCCTTGGAATTTTGCGGCTGAGGATATCTCGCGATGCAAGAAAAAAAAGAAATTATGTCCCAGTTTGCCTGGCCCGCGAGAAAGCGAAAGCAGTCAGAGATGGTTGGGAGCGAGGGGCGGAAAGCAGATCGACACATGGGCTCAGGTCAGCCGTAGATAACGACAGCATAGACAGAAGGTAGTATGCGCTGGTGGGTATTGGATTGGGATTGATGAGAGAGAGAGCATTTCCAGCACAGTATATCTATCTATACACATTGGATCTGCGATTCTTCTACATGTAGTAGAGCGGAGCTGCGGCTCTACACTACCAACGATTGAGGAGTTCCAACGGCCCATACCATACAGTAATGGCAGGAGGAAAAACAAGGTAGATCCGCCAAAGCAACATTCTCGCTTGTTACCTAACTATACTACTATATACACGTGCAAATGTGTGCAGGCGTCACAACCCCAGAATGTATGGTTATTACCACCAAGACTGTGGTGGCCAGGTAGGTAGGTAAGGTAAGTAGGTACCTAGATAAGAATATATTCTATTGTTCACGACACTGTACATTCGAGTTTTGTATGCATGTTCGCTGTGGGCGAGGCGAAAGGCCCACGGAAAAGGAAAAGGATCCACTGGGGGATTTTAGGTGGGTGGTATGGAAACGATTGCGCCATAGCAAGCTTGTCAAATTCTGACCAGTCCACTACGACTATTCATCACTTTTAGACTGCCCCAGGTGGGTAACGGAGCAAAATGGATTACCAACGCGGCCTTATTGTAGAAGCTTCACCGGCCGAA